TGCGCGAATGCGAGCTGCTGCTGCGCTGCGCTAAGAAGAGGTGCAAGGCAGGCAGGCGCTAGGCGGTAGGGCGCTGCCTGTGCACTGTGCGCTGGCGGCCATAGCCGGGCTGCATGGGGCACAGGTGAGGTGAGGGCGAAGGTGGTTCTTCGGAGGTGAAGGGCGCTGTGTGGGTAACAAGGGAGAGTGTGGGTGAAGAGGACACATACCTGGTGGAGGTGGAGGTCRGCATTGGTGTTGACATCATCACTCCCTGGTAGTCAAGTTGTCTGGTTGCTTTCATTGCTGTAGTTGTAGGCTTAGTCTGTAGAGTAGATAGGGCGCCTGGCGCCATTCATAAGAGAGAGCTACATTGGGTTATGCTGTTGGTGTAGCCCTGTTGGGCATGGACATTGACTCACGATTCTTCTGTATCATTCTCAATTGGATGGTTACTCGGTTCCATTGTGCCATCTGCTCTGGCTTTGACTACTTGGACTTCAGTGTGATTTTGCATTCTGGATTTCTGTGCTTCGTCCATATTCATGTTCCTTGCAGAAGAAGAAGAACGCAGTTACGATACTTCCTCTATGTTGACTCTGATGCACATTGGTGTTGGGCATTTCTTCCGGTCGCTTTGTGTGCAGAGGACTGAATTTATCTGTCTTGCTTCAACAAGGGGAATGAGAGATTGGTGCCCTCTCTGATTTATAGAATACCTGGGCTGTGGGGACTCTATCTGTAGCAAGCAAACTCATCGCAGAATCTGCGGGTTGATTGAGGAGATCTGGTGGCTTATTCAGCACTTTTTGGGGTATAGAACGTGAGTAAATACACTACACTCACTCACTCACACACACAATCGATGGAAAATTGAAAAACCCGTCGCACTGCGAAATCCCTACCCTCTCTATCTTCTTTTTAACATTCAAAGCCTTGAATCTCCCTTCGCTATGTCCAATAGTCTCTGAGCTGAAGTCGCTGAAGCCTTGAAAGTTGAAATGGTTGTCGAAATTTACATCTGGCAAGACTTGCATTCATTTCTTAGGGTACGCAGACGCAGTTGCTTCGAACTTCAGAGGTGCGAACTATGCGAAAGACAAAACAGGGAATTGGACGTAGCTATTGGGGTGCCTATTGACTATTGGGCTGGCTCATATGAGATGAAAATTTGAAAAATCAATCACCCATTTATGTGGTGGCTGTTGCTAGACTTGGAACGATAAAGTAGCGTATCTTGGTTTCGTTGGGTGATCAGCTGCTGTTCCTGTGTGATTGCGTCCAGTCATGGACTGAGGGGATGGAGGCATAGAGTCGAGTTGCAGTGGTTGAGCTCGAGAGTGTGTTATTCAGTTCAAGACCCTTTCAGTGTACATGTATCAGAGGGAAGGAGGGGGAGAGAGAGAGAAAGGGTGATAAAGAAACACACACGCACACACAATCAATGTGGTGAGCCTTGTATGTGAGAGGCACAGTAAAAGCGGAGCTGCAAGAACAAATAAAAGGGGTGACCCCAAAGGAAGCCAAAGCAAAGATAGTCAAGAAGGGGATTAAACGGATCTATTGTGCTTCATGTTACTTGCTTTAGAGGTATATATATAATATAATAATAGAACTGTTTCATTGTTAGACTGGCTCATCTCAAGTATAGAGGTCAAGCGGCTTCGATTGGGATCTACTTATCTGGGTGGAACGGGGGCTGTTGTGGTGCAATGTAAAACACGGGGGAAGAGAGAGAGAGAGAGAGAGAGAGAGAGAGAGAGAGAGAGAGAGAGAGAGAGAGAGAGAGAGAGAGAGAGAGAGAGAGAGAGATTCCTTAGGGTTGAGAGTAGAAGAAGGGACAGATTGTCAATAAGTGATAAGCAGGATGGATGACGGAAGTATGTTTGAAGAGGATGAGGACTTGTATGTTCTGCTGGGTTTAGAGAAAGGGGTGGAGAGCACAGAGGCAGAGATCAGGCGAGGTTACCGTCGCAAGGCCCTAGAATGGCACCCAGATAAACGGCAAGGGGATGAGTCTGCAGTGGAGGTGTTCCGGAAGATTCAAAAGGCATATGAGGTTCTTGTCGATGTGAAAGCTCGTCAGGCATACGATGCTCTCATTAAGGCAAGAAAGGAACGCGCAGAGAGGGAGGGGCGGCAGGACGTCAAGCGACAGAAGATGAAGGCTGACCTAGTAGCACGGGAACGCGCATATGCTCAGCAGAAATCGGAGGAGGAGACTGCGAAGGAGAGGCTGAAGGCGGAGCTGGCACGGTTGCGGAGGGAGCATGAAGCCAGGGAGAGGAAGAAGACGGCGGAGGGTGAGAAGCGTGGGGAAGCTCCACCGACACAGGTCACGGGAGCAGTGCCAGGGCAGCAGCAGAGTGCAGAAACGGTGCATGCGAGCAAACCTGCTACAGACGAGTATCAAGAGCGTATCTTGAAGGTGAGCTGGATGAAGGATGCTTCAGGAGCTGAAGGATACACAGAACTGAGCTTGAAAGAAGCATTCTTGAAATTTGGACCCGTCGAGGATGTGATTGTGAAGGCGAAAAAGAGGAAAGGAACTGCCATGGTTGTTATGGTGAGCAGGTGCGATGCGATTCGCGCAGCTCAGAGCGTATGTGGAGACCTGGCTAACCCGCTGCTTGTGGTTCCGTTGTCAAAGTCGACAGCTGCGGCCGCAGTTGCGGGCGAGCCAGTGGCTGCAGATGCATCTGGTCCTCCAACCTCTGGACATGGGAGAGAAATGACATCACCTGAGCCAGTGGCTGCAGATGCATCTGGTCCTGCTGCCAGTAATTCTGCAGGACGAAGCGGGGGACCTTCTTTCATAACGTACGAGAATGCAATACTCAAGAAGATGCAAGAAGCTGCTGAACAGGCTCGGCTTATAAGAGAGAAGCGTGAACGGCAGATGGCTGAACTGAAGGCGCAGGATGCCGGTGAACGAGGATGATCGATGCGATTGATATGCCGTGACAGTGCCAGGCACGGTGAAGCAAGAATCACTGATGAGCTGATGGCCAATCTGATCAATCAAGGGCAGCAGCCAACTCTGCCTTCAGTCAATGGCTGAATGTCAGCCTGCACTCTACAGCTAGCTGCTAAATGCAGACTCAGTTTCCCCCCGCTGAGCGGCAGCTCCGTTACCCGACATGTTTTGTTGTTTCTCTGATTGAAAGGAAGCCTGGGGAGTAGATTTCTTTGCTAGCTGTGGTTCTGCTACAGCTAGCAGTGAGTGGCAAGCAAACGATGCAACTGGGAGGGTTCAAGGCTATCAGATATTTGGTTTGGTCTCCACTTTGGACACTCCGCACTCCATAGGTCTTTTTTTCTTTATGCTTTCAGAGCCCGGAGCTGAAAAGGGTTGCATGGAATACCCCCCACCCCTCCGACCAGATCGCCAACAGCCTGGATGGCAGCTGAGAAGGCCTCTGAGATGGCAACTAAGAGGCTATCTGAGGTAGCACCACCTTCGGTGGCAGCTGATTCACATACATCCGGCCATCTAGACGATCACAAGATGGTAGAACTTCGCAGAAAGCAGGCCTCACGTGGTGCCGAATGTCATTCTTTCTTAAGTAAGGCTCATGGCAAAGTCAGCCAAAGTTGATTCTTCCATTGTTTCACGGGAACTTTCAGATTTGTTTCAAGGAAATAGCTCATTGCAGGTCTTGTGAATGCATTCACCCATCACTCTTCAGGAGTCTGTTTGCGGAGGAAGGCTCTTGTGGAGGGCCACACTCTCACCGAAAACTGGGAAATATGTATGCTGCGTGTTATGAGTCTGATTTCTGAGCATTTGCTGAACCCTAATTGAACATTACTGCACTCGTGAGTTTTGTTTTTCTTTTTGCTATGGCATTCCGGGAAATCTTCAAAAATACGTTTCCCGTCGTTGCCCGGGAAATCTTCAAAAACGACGTCAACGATTACATAGTTACGCCTGTCGCGGCGATGTAACTTGGCCGTTTCTCTGACTGGGACGTGCCCACCCTTGGTCGAAGCTTGATGGAGTCAAAATTGGCTAAAAGAGACGTCTTCCCATCCCAGAAATGCTTTTGGTTATTCTGCACATTCTGGTCGATGGTTTAGGGAGCTTGTTTCCAAACGTGTCTTTTTTTTTTTTTTTTTTTTTTTTTTTTAATGTGGCCCAATGGACCACGGATCAGATATTAAACTGATCAGAACAGATACTACACTTGATCTATTTTTAGCCAAAAGGCCGGGAAAGGTATTCAAACGTGGCGTTTGGGCTTTCTTGTAGAAAAGGGGGTCCATTTTCCCTTAAATCATGGTTATACCAGACCCATACCTGGGTGTGCGGGTCTGTCCAGAGGCCCCCGAAAATTAGAATATTCAAGAAACACGTTCATGAAAGAGTTCAAAGCACAGTGAACTTCAGCAATGGGAAACTAAGATCACAAAAGACAGTGGATAAGCCCACATGATTCCCTCTCACGGTCTCTGTCTGTCTGTCCCATCTGTCTGGATGTCCGTCTGTCCATTTATCCATCTCTCTGTCTGTTTGTCCGTGTGTCATCTGTTCGGTATCTATGGTATCACTACAGCGGGTTGGTCTAGTAATTCCAAATATGCTTTTCTAAGAGCACTACGGTCTGCATTGCGTGTCCTCTCTCTCTCTCTCTCTCTCTCTCTCTCTCTCTCTCTCTCTCTCTCTCTCTCTCTCTCTCTCTCTCTCTCTCTCTCCCCCCCCGCTATTTGTGCGTCACCGTGGAGAGGTCTGTTATACAGGCTGGCTCCGCACAGAGAAGCCTTGCATGCCCCGGCACAAGGGAAGCACACACCAATTGGGAAATCGCTCAATTTATTTTGCCTCTCACGGTCTCTGTCTGTCTGTTCCCAGGGTCACACAAAACCACGCTGCGGACCCAAATAAAAGTTTGGGTCCAAGTGTGGTTTCACTCAACTCAGCCCAAAAAAAAATTATGGGCCAATGTGTTCAACTTGGGGCCAAGTGTGGTTTCACTCAACTCAGCCCCCCCAAAAAATTATGGGCCAATGTGTTCAACGCTAATAATTTGTTTTGTGGCGCAGCCATCAGTGGGCTGCGAGTTCAGCCCTCGCTAGCTCTTGCAGCATCGTCACACGATTCCTTGCTTATGAGCTTGGTCCCTGTACTGTGAACAATGCAACGTGTGAGGGGTATGCTATGAAAGTTCGGGGAATCGGAAAATTGTTGCCGCAGATTCCATGGGCGTGTTAATATCTGCTTCGTCCAATCAGATCATGGGAGAGGGTCAACAGTGGAGGAAGGGAATCAGCTTAGGACTAGCACGATTAAACCGCCAGTACCTACCTCTGTTTTTAGGCGTTATCGCTGTGGATGAATCGGTGCGCCGTGCGGGGCTATATTCATTCACATCAGAGGGGGCCTAAGACCCCCTTAGGTACTCCGGGGTTTAACCGTTGACGGACCTCGTGTCTGTCATCTCAGTTGCCTGTGGCCCTGTGGGATGATGAAATGAAATGTTGGCTGCTGGTTACAGATCAAAA